GGGGGGGGACGTTGAGTATAGTGACGAGCGGGAAGAGTGCAGTAAAACGTTCAAAAGGGGGGGAGGGGATGTGCGGCGTGTGAAAGGTGGGCTGGAAGCTGACCGAGAAATGGAAGGGGGAAGGCTTTGGTGACGAAAGAAGGTGAGGTGAAGAATCGGCCTCTCCCCCTCCCCTACTCCCAGGAAACCGCCCTGGATCCGCCTCTGATTTCAGCACACAGTGCTGAATACACATCAGCAACTGTAAGTGTTCAACGTTCTGTACGAAAAGGGGGAGTAATTAAGCACTTTTACAAATACGAAGTTTGGGAAAACTCTATTCAAAATCTCATAACACAACTGTGGTACTTGCTGGGGAATATCCTGCTGGGGATGCTGGCTTAGTAACACTGGAAGGACGAGGCGGGCATTTGGCTAGGGGCCTTGCCCCCTCCCTTTCCTCCCGCCCTCTCACCCCTGTCCTGTTCGATAAGAAGCTAAACGCATAAGATCAACGACAGCAAAAACGAAAGCCTCTAAACCTCTTAGCGAGTGCTGCAGTGTAAATGATTGGGCCAAGTAAAACTTTGTTCAAATGATCTGATGCATTAACAATATAACAATTAGTGACGACACGGTATGAAGTCACAGTGTGAAACGCATAAAATTTATGAGCGTGGCCTTTCCTTCTTCCCTTTGAACAACGCAATCAGCGATGTGTTCGCAACTTTGACAATTTTGAAACGTACGCCAGGAATGTCACCCACCGCATGACCCTTTCGACCAAAACCAGCTACAAGCACTTCGTCGTTTTCCTGAAGAACACACGAATAATCATCTCAATAAACGAGACTCCCGCGCATCAACAGCTACAAGCGGTATCCAAGAAACAGCGAAGGCATATTTCGGACATAAGACTTCATTTCTGACACAAATTTCTGATAAATTCATCCAAATCCGATCAAATGATTCAGCAACATCCCCCCTCTTGTTTCAGCCGTTGTTAATGTATCTTTCTATTTATGTGTAATAAAATAACAAGGAGGCAGTTCTTAAGGAATGCTGGGAAACCCGCCTGGGAGATAGCGCAAAACAATTTGTGAAAAAGCGAACTGAAGAAATCAGACGAAAGCGAAACTGTGGTACTTACAATAAAAAAAAAATGCAAAAACGATTTGCTGGTTCAAAATTACTTCACTATTTATTTATACTGCCCTAAATTCATTCTAAGAACACTATGTATGTACAACGACCAGGCGGTGGGTATGCAGCCCGAGATCGAGGAACATGGTATGGCTGCGCTCGGGGTATAAGAGCATTTTAGTAACATGATTAACAGGGGATACCCACACTGATACCCAGCCACGCAGCCCTGATATTCTTGGCATTTTTGCACGAAAAACCATAGAGAAAGTCAGACTCTGACTCGCGGCACTAAGATACTTTGCTGCGTAATTCTGAAAAGCAAAGGAACAACAGCTTGAACAAACTAAATTTAACAATTCATATCCCATATTCTTAAGCATCTCATAGTGGCTGAAGAGAAAAGATAACGGCTACCCAAAACAACGATGTATAGCAAATGTCCGCAAGCTACAGCACGTCTTCAATGATTTATTGCGAGTCTTTGCGCAATCGTATGTCCAAAAGAAGAGCTGGGCTGACTGTGTTGTGAAAATAAGTGAATAACAGGCATAGGCGGACCCAGGGCTGTCTCCGGCGGAAGGCGGACGAGGGGGGGGAGGGGGCAACGGGAGTGCAGAGCGGAGTCCTCATCCGTCCTGGAACTATGCAAAAACTAAAAACAAAGTTCTAACAGTGCTTTTAAGAGTTACTTCAGCTTAGAGTTACTTTGGGCTTTAGTTTTAGCTTTAGACCCACGATTCTGCAGCACTGGTACCTATGCTGCTGAAGGGCGGTGGCGGAACACCCATCCCCCACCCCCTCCCCTTCTAAATCCGCCTGAAGTAATGAGGATTACTGAGTGGTATCCAGGCAATTATGAATAGACAGAGAAGGCTTCCAATGCCATAAAACTGTTCGGGCTGGTAATCTCCAGCAGTGCAGCATGTTGCAACCTTCTTCGTCATCTTACCTCAATGAAATTTAAGCATCCGTCATTCGGCACAAATGCGGTAATTTTTTTGCCATTTTTGATAAGCTGCACACGAACGCACTTGCGAATGGCCGAGTTCGGCTGCTTCGCCTCGACGCCTCTGGAAAAAAAAAAAGAAACACGCTACAAAGCTAAAAACATAAGTAGGCTCAAGGGGCACATTGTGATTTCCTCAGAGTTTTCATATCTTCTTGAAATCTGTTAGTGTATGCTTGTCCGATGAAATGCAAAGACACTAATGAAATCATTCGCGCTACAAGCTAAAACCCCCATCGTATTTCGCGTTCAGTGAGAAGCGGATGCACTCGGAAAATAGCCTGAATGATAAGGCATGCCAGCAGCTGGCACGGCTTGCGATGCAGAGGGTTGCTTACAAGCAAGCTGATCTCCCTGGCATATGTCAGTACCAGTTTACCATCGAAAAGAACTGTAGAGGGATTGGCTCTTCCACTGGCACAAGTTTTTTCTTAACTCTTAAAAGAAACGACGCAGTTGCTTGTTTACGCAACAAAATGTGAAAGGTGAAGAGCGGGAAAGAGTACCCCGTCCCAACGGCTTTGCCGCTTAAGGTACGCAGGTTTCCTCGTACACACATTCAACAGCCCCAGCAACAAATCTCCAGCACTAAAAATGCTAGCACGAGGTGCGCGACAAATAAAGTCCTGTCCTACAGCAGCCCCTGACCTACCGAAGCCAAGCTGTGACTGTTCGGGTACTCCAAAGAAATTTGCTGCAGAAATAAACGTGCCTGGAGACTTCACCGCCTCCAACACGTGCTAGGCAGAAGCAGCCACTGCATGAGTGCAGCAGCAGGCTTGGCGTAGTGGAATAGCGCTGCTGTCGTGCAGCAGGCCGAAGATTTAGCAATGTCAAACACAAAACGTGCTAAAACCAACGGTGACGATGCTGAGCCGGGCAACCACAGAACGTCCATCGAGGTACCTTTCGTCTTACAACATTCCTTTATTTTTTTATATATTTCTCAACCGCTTTAAATTTATGACTAATAAAATTCCATTCCTTTTCTTCTCCCTTTTTCTTTCTTTTTCCTTTTTTCCTTTTTTGTCTGTTTCTTTTCCCACTTTCTTCCTCTTTCCTCTCTCTTATATTCTCTCCTTTCCTTCTTATCCTTGAACACCGCGACCGTCATACTGACGAGGTCCAGCCGCGGTGTTGAGCTACGACGTATATGACTTGAAGGACCGAAACGTCTTAACTCGACTGTCTTTCCTACAATTTTTCCTCCTATTATTTTTCCCCTCTATATACACTCCCCTTATTTTGGCACCCCTCAACATGGATGCTACAGACGGCTTGGCGCAGTGGGGTAGCGCTACTGTGGTGCAGCAGGTCGAAGATTCTCCTCGTGGACAACCAATCCTTCTACGATCCGTTTCGATGGTAAATTGGTACTGGCATATGCCGCTATCAGCTCGCACCTCTTAGAAGAGAGCGTCATCCACAGCCTTGCTAATGGGTGGTTGCTGTTGGCATTTGCTACTTCTCTAGTGCCTCTGCCTTTCATTGAGAACGAAATACGGAGAGAGTTTTGATTTTTGACTTTTTGGCATTTCTTTTGCACGATGCGGCGATGCTGCTCATCTTGTAATCCCCTGATTTAAGGGTAAGTAAAAATGTGACTAGAAAAGGTAAAAAGAGCTCATGAAGTAAATAAAAAGAATGAACAAGAAAAAATATAAATGGAAATAATAAATTAGGTAAGAAATGTTTCGGTTAATTGCTTCTTGAAATACGGATCGGGGCAGTGTCTGCTGACTGACCAATGACCACCAGAAAAGTGCAGCTCTGGTCAGCGCAACTGCAGAAATTGTCAGATGGAGGGCCAGGCGCCACAAATTTGCGCAGATCATGCAGAAGTTATGCGAGCAAACGAAATGCATACACTTTCTCGAGAACGATCCCTTTGGCGTGTGAGGCACCTCCGAACGGATTCGCCTTCCATCGCGTGCCCAGATTTGCCTTCTTGTATCTCTTGTCGCTCCAGCGCTGCGCCTTACGATGCATTTTCAGCTTGCGCGCAGTGCGAATCCCCTTCGGCTTGCCCATCGCTGCACCACCACCACACTGCAACACACAGCAACACGGTACAGGCACAACGCCAAGCCACCACGTCACAACATCACGGAATTTTCCACGCAAACGCACCCAGACCCACAGCACCAAGGCCAATCTACTGACTCGGCCCGAAGACGCAACGTACACGCGTTTTTAAGGAGCACGCACTCGTCTGTGGTTTGGAAAGAGTCGCGAAAAACACAGAATGTGCGCAAACACAACGAATTTTTTGTTTCGCTCGGATTTTGAAGCGCAAAGCACAAGCTTACCAGCTTTCACGGCGCATCTGATTCCCTGCTTCGCGTCATAAACCTGTATTCCCTACTC